ACAATTCCTCTGCCAAAATGATCTACATACAGTACTATGTTGTATTTATTAGAGTTTATAATCTGTTTTTCTAAGGTGGCTAACAAATACAGACCAAATCAATCGAATGAGACCTCCTCATCCTCTCAACTCTTCCTGAGTGGCACTCCATTGAGGTTGTGCTCACTCTATAATTTAAGTACCGTTTATTTCAATGGGATTAAAGAGTAATGAACTTCCCCTAAAGCCTATCTTTTTTCTCCAAACTTTATTTTCTAATGTTAATGCCAGATCAAAAATAGGAAAACTATAAAATGACTTTCAGGATCGATCAGTCAAGAAATATGCCACAGGCTAGCCCTTGGCAGGACTGTAATGAAGACCTTAAACAGAATATTAAATGCTGTGATGTGCTTATATCAACAAAGATTGAAATTGTTCAGACAATGGCTTTTCTGTGATGTTGGTGTAATGGTGAAGGTGCTGGCCTAGAAAGCAGGAGACTCTGAGTTGTAAGCCTCCGTCAGACATGAAAGCTGGCTGGGTGACTTTGGGCCAGTCTCTCTCACTCTATTATTAACACAATTGATGCTGGATGAGATTTTTAAGGATACCAAGGACAGACAGGAAAATAAATGGATTATAGAACAAATCAAGCCAGAATTTTCACTCAAAATTCTAATGAGTAGACCCCAACTCTCATATTTTGGACACTATTCATACGGAAAGCCAGTTTCCTTAAGAAGTCCATAATGCTTGGAAAAGTTGAAGGAAAGAGAAGAAGTGAATGCGCAGTGATAAGGTGGATGAATTCAGTTATGACAGCAATCAAAGATACACTGATTCAATGAATCACTGAAAATCAATGAATTTCAGAGAATAAAACAGCAATTCCTAACACCCAATGGGACATACAGTTCAACAGGCATGCATACAATAGCTTTGCACAAAGTACTGTCCCTTAGTTGAATCACATTTCCAGTTATTTTAAATTTTGTTTAGGAACAAATACTAACAGATCTACAATTATAATCTTGCTATTATATATTGCTATAATTGTAATATATGTGTTACAATCTTTCATTAGGAAGCCTGCAGCTGGTGGATCACCCAAAGTGGGTAAAAATGCTCCTGATTATGCTCCCAGGCACAAAAAAGCTAAGTTTTTATCTATCTATCTATCTATCTATCTATCTATCTATCTATCTATCTATCTATCTAT